GCTATGAAGGGGCTATGCCCCAAGCGCTTTCAATATTTTTTCAATACCCAAGACTAAAGTCGATATTTCAAGTGGTTGCCGGAAATATTCCGGACGCCTCCAGTCTAGAATTTCCTGATGCTTTACCCTGGATAAGGTACAACCATTTTTATATAGAAAAAAAATATCATTTTTGGCTATAGAAAAGCACAGATTACGTATTTTTATACAACCGTGTTGTATCATCTCCGTAGGTCCATTAAAAAATTTGGAATTTTTTTCTTTATACCGGAAGTCGATACTCGAGCCAAGAAAAATGTCCGGATGTAAAAATAGCTTTGACCATGTACTAGCTATGGATTTCTTCTTTAAACAGCTCTTAAATATTCTCAGTGTTCCTTATTCAGCCCTGCCGTCTTATTAAGAGAGGATGATGCGAGCCTAAGAAAAGTGACGTTTTAATAACGTCGTCCTCCCGCTAAGGAACACCTAAGATATGCGCAATTTCCGCACCAGCTAAGAAAGTTCCACCGCGCGTTAAAGGAACGTAACGGCTAACGCGATAAAACCTTCCCTAATGATGTCCCTCGTTATTATCCTGAATTTTCATCTCAATGATGTCGCTTGTTATTATCTTGGAGATTTTTTCACAGTGGCGCAACGAGTCTTGGAAGAAGGACGAGATTCTTCGCTTATCTTCAGCGAGTAGGAACATTAATAATTCTAATTGAATGAACGGAGAGAAACAATTTTTTTTTTTACCACGTGTAACAATCAGGATACATAGCTTTAGAGCCACCCATTTCCTTTATTTCTTCCTTCCCATTTGTTTCTATATCATCAATGCTATTCTTTTCATCCCCCAGATATTCCTCGCCACGCTGGCGATATATCTCCAGATTCCAGAACCTCCAATATCGCGTATAATCTTACCGGATGAAGACTCGTGGTATTCCTGAATGCTCAAGGGCGGTCGAATGAAATTGATGGAAGAGAGTCAGTTGAAAATCCACGGAATACGGAAATGTCAGAGGTCCTATCCATTTGCCAGTGAAGATCCAGCGCATTGGTATCCCAGTGACATCGCCCACTTCTCATTAGGTTCAAGCCTCAAGATAAAAGATAAAAGTCGACGAATCATCTCGCTCCGAATGAGAACCACTTCTCTCAAGTGGAAAGTATCTTAGTGAAGTCTCTCGGTAACTCTAGGGCGAGTTCCTTTCCTCGTGGTCTTTGTCAAGACTCGTACGAGCTTAGCCGGAAGAAAATGGTGGTAGAAGGAAGTGGATAGAGGGAGTCGGAGTCAGTGTCGTTCTGACTTTAACGTTCAAGTCGAGTGGCCCGACGTCTGACACTGCGAGAACGAATAGTCGGAAGTTCAGGGTAAGAGACTCGAGGACAGACTACAGTGGATCTTGTATATCCCTATCCCTTTCTATCTTTTTACCCCTTATGTCTCTTTATACGTTTGCTTCTTACCTTTTCTCTAAAGAGACTCCATCGTCTGGCCCTTCTATTTTCAGGAAATGGGTTTACTGGGTAATCTCGTTTCCAAACCATGTGCACAGAAAAATTTTATACAGACCATCCAACCTCTGTATCATTGAATTAATCGTCGAAACAGTAATCAAAATTTCAAACCCGTGTATATACCTTTAATTAAAACATTTCAGACCTTGCTGGACTGAAACTTGGTAGTCAGGAAGCTTTCCCAGGGTAATGGAAGTAACGCTGTTACCGGGGCAAATTGATATCAAGGAAATTAATAAGCCATTTTGGTAGGATGCGTACAACGTGTCTGCCTTGCCTTGGCCTTGCAGCCATGCATCCGTTTTGGCCACGAAGGCTTTCTACGTTTTGATCATTAATTTTCAAGGATATTTTACATTCTTCCTTCCCCTTAAAGTTTCTATAGAAATCCTTAAGGTTAAATAACAATGCACTTTCGACCGAAGAAGTATTGCGATAAAGACCATTCCCTATCGTGAACTCATACAGATCACGTATCTAAGCATATACCTTAGTGTATGTACAATTGTACATACGTGCAAATAAAAAGTCCAGCGGAAAATGCCGTTTGGTAAAATTGGTGGCACTGATAGAATGCACCACGTGCACAGCATCACAGACAGATATTGGATCTTTGTGCGTAATCACATGGCCAATATTTTTCTATTGTCTTAACATTTATAATATCTGTATAAACAAACATATAAGGAATAAGTTTATGAAAATGTGCTTTGATAAATATGGCGCGCATTACCGTTCGATAACGTACTAAAAATATAATATATTTCGATTTGGTGCCTTTTGTAAAAGTATATTAATTTCGGCTTTGACTTTATTCATAGTGAAACTTTCGTTTAAATTAGCTATACTGTATTTCCATATTAGATAATATTAATTGGTCCTGTTTTTCTCGCGAACAAGAAACAGTATGGTTAAGTTTCAGTTGACGCAATAAATGCCGTATGGCTGCTATAGGAAAGATAGCTATAGGAAAGGCGCATCAAGCCGGCGCTATGACAAATAAGGCTACACGCATTTTAACACATTGCGAATCGGATATTTTATTGCTAACTGTACCCAGTAACCTGGATCGACCTTCAACGCTGGAATACGAAACGCCTCGTCATTCGTCTGTAATGCATTAACATGGAAGGATGGACTACCGAGAATTGGGAATGAAAATATGTCTGAGGTAGACAGTTGATGAAAATTACATTAAAAATATCAGTTTAAAAAAATACTCCTCTCCTTGAAGTATGAATACATACAGCAGTATGGTAGTCTCCCGGATAGTTGTTCTACATTGCTCAATTTGGTAGAAATATGAGCAACGGCTCTAAAGGCTCGTCTCAATAATCTTTAGGCTAAAGAGGCGTCCAGGAAACTTTAGGTTTCAATTTTTTCTACTTTTTCTAGTATCTTCAATTCTTCATATACATATATGTATATACCTCTGATGTATACAAAACGAAAAGAATAATTTCATGAAATTTTTATTCCTTTTCACTGTAAAGTAATAGTAGATTGAAAGCCATCGAAATAAAAGGTTATTACAGAAGGGAAGCAAACAGCTGTCTAGTCTAGTCAAGAGTTTTAGTTTCTATCTGATGGGAATATCCCGTGCCTGGCACCAGAAGGCGAGATTAGTGTTAGCAGCGTTTCGTTAATAAAAACGATCGAATGCCATCCCTGTAACTAAAGGTAAGCCGTTAGTTAGCTCGAACCAGAACGATCTAAATATACTAGAGATATAAAATGCTTTCAGTTGATTATCGTAAAACGTTAAAGATCCATTTCGCGGAGTTAATTTAAAAATATTTGCACGATCCTCTGGACGACGATAGAGTATTATTATCCTGTTAGGAAATTGAAGTGTCCCCCGAGATATAATGTAAAATGTTCTCGCGATGAACCGACAACTCCCTTTACCCACCTACCGATTAATAATTACCAGTACTCGATAACGTAAACAAACGGTCGTTACTACGTGATACCGTGTACAAACGATTTTCCAATCTCTCCATGGAGAGAATAAACAGTGCACTGTTATAATATTAATAAATGTTTTAACGTTGTTTACAGCTGGAGCCGCTTCTGAGGAAACTAGCCAAAGGTCCAGCTCTGCACACAATCGCCACTCTCTCACGAAGGGTAAGTGCCAAGATGGAAACCATTTCCCAAACCAGTCCCTGGTCGTAGAACAAACTAGGCAGGAAAAAGGACGATGACTAAGAGAATAAAAAAGGAAGGGATCGGATCGTTGGCTCGATCGGTAAGCCCGGTGGAGTCTAGCTTTACTTATCAGTCCTTCACGGAGTTGCTATGGCAACCAATGGCCGGTCTAATAACAAAGTACTCCCGGGGGGCTTGTCGTCTGCTAACTTCGCGACACCACAAGTCGTACGCATTAGATGCCAACGTAAAAGGTCGTACATACAAGACGTGATCAGCATGTTGCGCAATTTAAAAAAAAAAAGAAGGAAAGACAGAGACAAAGCAGCAATCCTTTCGTTCGAGAGAATGCCGACGTTAGAGCGAATACACTGTGAACCGGTCCAGCTTGGGTGCCTACGTAAGAAATCAATGTATAACGTCACTGATCCACGATCTTTAAGAGAAACCACAATGCAACGAGACGTTTCGAAATGAACGATGAATTCCGTCTGGCTTTTATAATGGCATTATCGTTAAACTGGAGAATACATGCTGTTACATTCTTTCTCGCTTACACTGGTTATCTACTCAGTGGAACACGTTACGTATATGTGTACAGTCTTTCCTCACGATTGCACATCGTGTTCCTTGAGAGATCTTGCGAATACTTTTTCGTTATCAACTCGGCGGAACATATATACCATTATCATGGTTTTATTGCGCAAACGGATCGTTAACGGGCAGATATATAAGGCAAAGTGCACCAACGTATTTTACCTGAAAATCTTTGGATACTATTCGCCGTCCCATTCAAAATCAATATACATACTTTTATGGGTGTAAGTTCTCACTTTATTATTATATGAGCACTCTATACTTACGTGTATATTTATATATACTCGTACTAGATTCCAAAATATTTTCTTAATATCACCGAGTATCGCATGGTCGGTAACGGCGAATCTACTGGGAATAACGTTCAAGGAATATTTCAGGGAAGCTTATGCGTTATGTGTCTGTATATATTTATTGATACACACACTATATTTATTGTACATCTATGACTGCTATTCCTGTTAGGTTACGCAAATATGAGAAAATTGCTTAAAGTTTTTTACTTTTCACTGTCACAAGACCGTTAAATAAAATCTATCGCAGTCCACTGCTTTATTCCTTAGGATCCTCGTAATGCAGGGTCGTGCATTAGATTCGTACAAGGGAACTAAAATTTTCGTTACGTGATTTCATTGAGGCATTTCATCGTGCAGCCTGATCTTCGGAAAATAAGATAGGGCGAAGAAGAATATCCTCGATGAAAGCAAAAAAGCGACTAATCTGAGGATCTGTACTTTAGGCTGTATTAAATTTATTGTGATAAAATCAAGTACATCGGATCTATACTGCCTGCTGAAATGTTGGCGATTGAGGTAGAGAAATCAATAAAAAAAATAATAAAAAAGAAGAATGCAAGCCTAGGTGATATAGACGATTGTAGGTATATGTATAATCTGAAGAAGTAGAAGATATCGATTTCTGCTCAACGTATCCCGTACAACTGATATAGAAGACTGCCAGCAGTAATATAGTTCACTTGTTCAACTGCTTCTTCTGCTATCTTCCCAAGTGATAGAAAACCCATTGCGCCAGACAAGTAATTGACATCGGTAGAATACAACAAAAAAAAAGGATAGAATGCCGAAGGAAAAGAAGCATCGAAGTGAATGCAATCCAGTGCGGGAAACGCCTTTCTTACGTTTTTGTTCCTTCATATTTTTTTTCCTTTTCTTTTCGATCATATCAACCTACATCGAACTCTATTCGTATCTTATGGCAAAGGTTAGATCGTTCTTGCAGAGAATTACAATTCTCGATCCTCGCTGGTAGGAATTACTCGGGACTTTTCTGAACGATATCGTGAAAATCGTGGGATACGTTTCTCTGCGATGTTTTGATAAATGGAGGAAGGAATAATAATGGGAATTTGGCTCTGCGCTTACAGTGTGGAATAATCTGTGCCGTTTCGAAAAGTCAAACTTCTCTTTGTAAATTTCTGGCAAAAGCTTGACCAACAAAATGCCGATACGGCACTTCATAGAGTTTTCGGAGTTTGAATTTCGAGAAAGTTCACCACGACATTGAGATTATTTGAATGACTCGGAGATGATTTTAATTGAAATTTAAAAAAAAAGGCGATGTGGATCATCAAAATGAAAAAGTAAAAGCCGAGGATAAGTGGCCGGATGACTGGCACTTTGTGGAACGATAAGTGTCTAATAAATATTCTTCTTTGGTTCCCGAAAAAAAAAAGGAATACATTGGATTTAATATTATTTTGTACGTGCCAGAAACTACTCCACGAACTGTGAAATGCTATTAGGTAACTCGTTTGACTGGAAAAATTCGAAGATAAATCAATCGCCATTCTCTCTGCGATGAAAAAGAAAATTTGTGTAAAGCTCGCTGACTAGGACCCAGTAATAATATTGGCATTTCAAAGAAAATCTCGTTTTATTGGAATAACAATTTAAAAAATTTGATATCTTCGTTTGACTCATTCTATAGAAATATTCGAGAGACAAAAATTGAATGAAGGAAAGATCTTTTTTACATTTCACACCGGACTTTCTCGTGAAAATGTAATTTCTATGAAAATATAAAAGTTTTTCGTGAATTTAACGTGGTCCATAGATTCTTGAGAAAGTCAGGTGTGCGTCTGGGTCTGTAGTGTCGTAATCCATGCTCATAAATATTTCCATGAAGATTCGTGAGAGGTTATGGCTGCTCGGAGGGCGAGCGCGCGTATGAAATATGCATTGTTGGAGGCTTATGGTAAGGCCCTCGTATTATGGGTAACTGACAGTTTAATCCAGGACCCTACGTCCTAGAGAACTGATGATATTACACGAAGCCGCATATCTTGCTTGTTAACTTCCCGAGAATCACACCTGACAAGACCACCCATGCACGCAAGACTCAACGCAGCCACCGTGGGTATTAGAAACTGCCCCAGGAATAGGCATTACAACATACTTCAAGATATATTGTACAAGCATAAAATGCCCTAAACTTTTCTATACGGCTTCGGTTGAAAGAGAAAACAAAAATTTAATCCCCGTTCGACAGTCTTTCAGGTAAAACATTTTTCCCATCATTTATCATCCGAATGTAAAAAATAAATTCATAGATTAATCAGTCTGGATAACTTTCGCAATGAACGCCACGATATTAAATTAAGACACTGCCAAGGGATAAATACGATGGGTTCTGAATGAGTGTGAAGACCATGAAGATCTTGTTGATGAAAAAGGGGAAGAAATACGTAGAAAATAGCAGGAGTGTGAAAACAGGTATTCGCAGTAAACGCAATGTAAACTATGGAAGTGGTCAGGATGGTAGAGGTCCAGAATGAAAGCGGCGCATGTAAAGTAGGTGAGATGGAGGAGGATCCTATTGTTTCCGACCCACTTCCGCATGCTGGAAGATTAACAGACACATATCTGCTACGACAACGGATGAAAGTTTTTTTAGCGTTTGAGTTTGAGGATGTTTAGTGTCAGTTTTGGAATCCGCTCTAGACTGGAAAATCTACATTCTATACCGGTAGAGGTTCTTGTTTGGCGAGCGCTTTACCATGGTTTAAATATCGTTCAAAGAAATGAACCGTAGGACGAGCAGAAAACCCACCTCTATTTTTGCAGATACGCTTCCTTTACTTATATGCTTGTTATTTTTCTCTCTTTTCTTTTCTTTTTTTTTTTACGTGTCTTTAACATCCGTAACAAATATCCACGGCGAATTTTCCCCAGACCTTTTCGTGTTTCCAACGAACTCAAGAATCGAATCGTTTGTCTGCTCTAGAAGTCGAGAGCTTTTAGAAGAAAAAAACTGACTCATGAATTTTTTGATGAACAATGTCTATCACTCCCGGGTGTACATATAATACCTAAGGGAGCGTTGCGCAATTTTGTAGAAATTCATAGAACTTCAACGCCCATCCATATTCGCGCGAACGGAATTAAATCTGCCAACAGTCACTCGAGCGAATTTCCACTCGCGCAACAGGAAATAAAGCTTCGTCGGCGTAATACAATTTCATCGGGAAGGATTCTCTCGAACGTTGACGGTCCTCCTATTAATCGAATGTGCCCGAAGGCCTACGCTCTGTCTGTCCCTCTCCCATTTTTTTTTGTTCGCTCTTTTTAGTCTGGCACTCACTTGGATCAACTAGAATCAATTTCGGTCCTAACGACCTTTTTCAGCAAATTGGCTATTGTTACTGGTGACTGTCATTAATATTTGAAAATAATAACAGTAAAGAATACCAAAAAATAATAAAATTCGCAATTGGTACAGGAAAAATATATTCGAGCAATACCTATTTGTTATTATTTTACTTATTGTTAACGTTTTTCCCATTATTCCATCTCCATCTTATTATTAGAAAATCTGTTGCTGTTTCTCCCAGGCCTACCTAGTTCACGATTATCGGCGTTACTATAGCCTCATCTGACTACAGAGATGGTATATCTATATACATGACGACTATCGATCTCGAAAAAGGGAAAGAATTTCGTAAGATTCTTGTGCGCGGAATGACAGGAGAACGATGAACTTAATATCGGAATTATCCGTTCGCCTGTTCCATTCGAATATCCATTCTCGATGAGACATCCAACTACCGAATGATCCGCAACGGCGTGGTACATACAAGTAGCTTCTTGTATAAATTTCTGATATTTGCTCCCACCGACCGATAATGCCATTTTCAATTTATACCGAAAGCATATCCCCAGTTCCGAATCTCACCTGCCTTCCATGTATACCAACGTTACACTCCTGAATTCGTTATTGAATTTTTCCACTTTGACACCCATTCGCTTTCGAATCGAATCATGGAAGATCTTTTCATGCGCGTATATGCACATTTCCACGTATACAGGTAGACAGATCGCAAGTGCAACACTTGTCTGGTATTCAGTGGTTCGTACAGACATTTTTTGCCCTTAAATTGCATTCACTATTATCTACTACTCTTTCATGTTTCTACAGAGCAAACGATGCATTGGTTCGCTCACATTGGCGGTGATAACGAGTCGCTAGATCAGTCAGGTAAAGAAAACGAGGCAGCAGCAAAGAACGTACATAACACAGCATTTTATGGGCAAACATTTTTAGTGAATCTTTCCTATGATTCTGGCTCGTATTAAAAAGAATTCGCGCAAAGTCAACTGACACTGACGCGAACCTGCAATTGTGATAACGGTGTGACACTAATTTACAGAGAGTGTTTTCATGAAACTACCAAAGCGATTTGATCATTTGGTCGTTTGCAAACCTTTTTTTTTTTTCTAACCTACCTTTTAACCAAACAATACTATTTTGACACTGCGCCTGCTCCATATTACCAGCAATTTCCACGTGCGGAGTTGTTTGTCGCCCATCGCCAGTCAGGTCGCGCGACATTGAAACACAATTTTACGAGATGCATGTCGCATGTCTATACTACTGCGCGCTCATCTAATATACATTTAATAAGCGCACGTTAAGTCTACGTATTGCATAAATCGTATCTATAACTCTAGAAATATAACACGTGACACGTTACATGTTGCAATATGATTTATTCTTGGCAGATGTAAAGCGTCGCAGTCTCTACGACGAGGACTCCCTCGACGGTGATCATCCTAATGATAATCAAGGTACCATCTTTAAACGAGCATATACTAAATCATCCCATGGATTCATGTTCGCAATTCTTATTATCGATCGAACGGCAAGGCGACTTGTCGCTATCATTGCTTCATTAAAAAAAGCTGTGCTTCGACCTCGGGAAAAGTTTAAGATAATTCGGAGTTATACTCATTCACGTTAAAATAACCAACTACGAATCCCGAGGTCTTCTTGCCATGCTTGACTAGATAGGAAAGAAGGAAGTAGTTTAAGAATTGTCAATGCTCACCGCCATGGTTTACCATGTTACAGGTCGAGACTCTGCCGGAAGCTCGAAAGATGTTGACAGGGTAAGATTAGTACGTGAGAGGCAAAACGAAGAGAGGCAACGGAAGCTGGAAGAATTACGACAACAAGCACTGGCCGCTCAGCGTTTCCGGGAGCAACGAGAAGAAGAACGCCGAAGACGCATCGACGAGCTCAGATCGCGCGACCACGATAGGTATAGTCCTTTACTTGAATAATAATTATCGAAAGACTTTGAATAGTTTCATGTTAAATGCAAAGGAACAAGTGAAATTAATGTAATCTTAGCCGACATTTATTTTCCAGACGAAACCAAGTCGAGGAACGAAAACGTCTAATATGGGAGGCCGAGAGAGAAAGACGCGAAGCAATTCTGCGAAAGAATCAAGAGAGAGACGCACGTATAGAAGCCAAGAAGAAAAATGAACGCTCGCACATTGTCTTCGCGTTTGGCAGCTCCACGCCACGGATGCTCGAGCCTGCGGACACCGGCGGCTCCACCTTCTGGGGAACCCGGAGGGCCACCTCGACGACGAATGTCATGATGTTCACCGCTGCGCAACCCCTCACCAGGAGATCCTCCGAAAGGGAACTCGACGGAAGCAAGAAACGCGCTACTTCCGCCGGTGGCCTCGATCGGAAACCTGGAGAAGGTCAGTTTCTTCCTTATTTCAGCCCCGGTGCGCTTCCTCGAGGCTGGGCCGAATTTATAACAATTACGGGTACAGTCACTTCATAGAATATTGAGACTTTCGGTATGGTAGAAAGTAGGCCAAGATGCTGGGAACGAGTGAGTATAATTTTCTCTAGAGGAGAAAGAAAATATTCAAAAAACGATATGTGTTACAATTACTACATTTTTTTCTTTTTTTTTTCATCTTGATGTTGGTAAGATCGCAAATGCTATTGTCGCAATTGTACTGTAGTTATTCATATAGCGTTATGTGACTGTTCTGTGGACATTCTATTTTATTAGATCCCGAACAAGAAGAGTAGCGTGTCCGGGTGTATGTAATGCGCACTGCAAACGCACAAAAGAAAATGCTGATTACTGTTGGGCACAGAATTTGAGTGATACGTTTATCTTTTATCACTGCAGGGTAGTAAAGCATTAATATAGAATTCAGAGATAAAAAAGTTTCAATATATTTTAGAGACTTCACGGACTTTATCTGATTCTAAATTCGGCTCAGGTCCTTTTGTGTTCCTTTATTCTATAGTCGGCCAACGCCATTGCAAATGGCTTCTTATTTATTTGTTCATCTTTACGTCAATGTACATTATAGGGCAATCAGATAAGACGAGTTTACTTTTTGTGCATGAACTTCGAGATTGCATACCCCATTGATAGAACATGCGAAATGATCCTGTAAATAATTTACACGCTTATTTATTCAGTCCTCTCCAGATGAGCCCCACGTGTAATGTTAAGTTTTCGGCCTTAAGATTATTATCGTTTAATTCTTTTTTTTTTCATAATAAACATCGTACACAAATGTTCTCGCTAAAATCATTCTCCTCGTAGAAGATGCGCACACCCGCCACGTGGAGCTTGGACCGACCTGAAATTTCTTTACGTTAGACAAACTACACGTAAATTAATCTTTAGCAGATTACGTTAGCTTTCTCTCGCACCTACATTCATGGAGCTTTCTTCAATTTAGTTGCTAGCGATGCACAATCAATCATTGTCATACCTTATCATCTTCCCTCTGTCTATCAAAAATATGAAAAATCTTTATTCTTCCAAAAGATCCTCGAAAAAAAAAAACAACAATATTCCAAAACTTTCTTCTCACGAAAGTCCCTCCACCTGGGTCTAATCTTTTTGCAAACTTGAAGAAAGCTTTTTTTTTAATGGTTCTTCCCCAAGTTATAACGTAACTCCTTCACGAAAATACGCGACGTTTAGAGCCTTACTGAATTCCTCGGAACTTACATCAAGAAGGAATCTCTCGTATAATGATATAGCATTGGATAATTTGTTCACAGATATGAGAATGTCCTCGTCCATGTACGAGGTATTCAATTGGAATTCTAGCCCCGATCCTCCCTTAACCCCCGCGAAAAATAAAAGAGCCAGCCTCTCTCTGCCTCCTACCACTGACATCTTTGCCATCGACGATAAATCAGATAGCGATACTAGACGTGCGATGATTCAGCGGGCTGCCACCGGTGAGTCCACCAGCCAGAAAAAATGAAGCCTGCCACAAGGGAAACCTTCTTGTCTCGAAATAAGCTGACAAAATCTTTTTTTTTGTTTTTTGGTATCTTCATTCTTATCTATCTGTTGCTCTATCTTATCATCTAGCTATTTATTTATCTGTCTACATCATATGTTAGCAGCACTCATACGTCTTATTCACTTTGCATCATACTTGTTTACGAGTACCGCGGCAGCATGTAATTTTGTTTTTCGTAACCATGGTTATATTCGGAACACTTGATTTTCCGATCATACTAATTAGCTCATCGTGAATATTATTGTGAGGTATTGCTACGCAGGATCTCTGTACACGCATGAGATTTGTATCTTGGTTATTACCCGTGTTAACTGCATCACATTTTTCTGTTACTCATTTACACGAACCAGTACCACGCAATCACCAATACTTTTGGCACGATCTACTATGTTTGCCTGGCACATTATGTTGTTATTAATGGTTGGTTGCATCCGTACGTCCAAACGTCCGACAACGTCGGCGCTCCAAACTATTGCCGTAACGTTAAGGGATACACCTGATCTCATTAAGGGAAGCTTAAACTTGTGATGATTACCAGATAAAACTTTGACCTTTTCGCATGATCTTCCTGCCATTTATTTTTCACATGGTTAAATATCTACATGGCGTATCAACGCATTTATCACTGCCCTTTACCAGTTATTTTTTGTACCTTTTCTATGATTTCGATTACTCTCTTCTGTTCTTTCCCCGTATCAACATTTTATTTCCGATGGATTTCACTTTTGAAGATGCTGGAGATCATGCCTACAGAGCATGTCTGGATTTTGCTTGATCGAAATATCACTAAAGTCAGCAAGCATTGAGTATTTTGACACACGTACTTTTGTTTGTCCTCTCTCTCCTGGAAACTCTGCAATCTTCTCTTGCGTTGTCGAAGCACTTAACGAATGTCGCGTTATGTTACGTCATTAAACTTGTTATGAATTTTCTAAAACACCGATTTACAGAATTGTATGAAGCACGAAATCGCACGTTATTCTTGTAAAATTATTTAAATAATGTAACAGCTGCAAAAGTGACAAGACCCTCTTCGAGACTTTTAAAAGCAGCTTGAAATGCTGCTTAGGGGTATTGTCATTTTATTAGTAAAACTCAAGTGAGATAAATGTGTTCCGCAGGGCTATAAGTGTGATATCGTATGATCGTTTGATCGGTGTAGTTTGACGGTGCTTGGGTCTGGCTTCTAAGGAGAGAACTTTACAGGTGAGGAGAGCGACGGTACACCAGGAACCCCGAGCTCAGGCTATCTCCGAGTGAACAGGCGGCGTACAGACCTAATGCCAACTATACCTTCGCCAAGAGACGGACTCCCGTCGGCGGGTCGGAGCTCGAGCGCGAAGGTCTTCACACGTTCCCCAGGTAGGACTTACTCGATGTCCAGGCTGGATCAGCTGGCGCAGCCTAGAAAGCGTCCCAGCGAGCTTAGCACATTGACGGAACAGCAACCCCAACCACTGGGCGCTTCTAGCATGAGTCGCAGCATGTCTCATTTGGCTGCGCCTGGAGCCAAGAGCCTTAAGCGCTCTGACAATTCTCGTAGCATGGGTACGTTGCCAGGCGCAGTGCCAGTTCCTCGGCCCACGAGGGCCGAAAGGCTACGCCGAAAGGCGCGCGAGCAGCAGTCTCACCAGCACCAAGGTAAGTCGTCCTCGGGGGCCACTTGGTCGCTCATGTGTACTCAACTCCTTACTAAACTGACAATGAGACTCGAGTCGACACTTTGCTGACTATTACCGAGTCAACGAGTCAACGAGTCAACGAGCCCAACCCAGCTGTCTGGGAACCGGTTTAAAGGTTCGCTATATATCCACTGCAGAAGAACACCTATGGCTGAGTACTGCCGAAAGCTTTCCAGCCACTCACTAGCTCGTATTGCGCTTTGCTCTTCGCTTCGAGGCGATCGAAGTAGTACTCTAGCCCTAGGGGAATGCCTTGACCTTGAAGGAATTATTATTAAAAATTGCATATAGATAAAATTTATTTTTTCTTAATCTCGTGCGAGTTGAGAACACATCTGTATCTGCATGAAAAAGTGATAAAGGAGTGATTGTCGATCAATTCAAGGAAATTGTAATCGACAAACTGCATAAGAGTTTAATTAACTATTTTTCAAAGAGACTTTATGTCCGATGTTGTTTGTTTCAATAAGATATGGGACTATCGGTGAAACTATTGGTGTAGATATATAAAAAAAAATGTATTCTCAAAATTAACACGATTAATGCCTTTGTACATTCTGCTTTTCTCAGTCTCTCTGGCTTCTAACACATCTGACAAATGTAATATAACACAAAGTTTCATATCGCTCAAATGCAACTAAAACGAAAGAAAGTCGTCAATTTTTATAACAGTAACCTGATAATTGATTAACAAGCAACTCCTGGTAAGGCATTGATCTTCACCGGGTTTCACGGTGACATGGGTGACGGTATCACGCTAACTCTACGTCTTCGGTAAGCTGCACAATTTATATTTTTCTTAAAAAATATGGAATTATATATTTGTATTTAATGTGCAATACACGGTGGACCCAATCCTCGTTTCAGTATTTATCACTATCATTTCTGTATCATGCCATAACGTTATCTTCGTTATCTTCGTCTTTCTAAATCACGATTACTTTACACGTTTCTCTCTCTTTGTACAATACCCTTATCTTAGCGCTCTCTCAAAGAAATATATAATTGCATATAGCTTTTACATTTATTCAATTTACTTTTGTAATTATCACTGTTCGCTGTAGCCTGAGTAATCGGTGGCGGGAGTAAGCCGTTACAAGCTTCGCTCTTTCCGAGTCTCACGACTATCAGCTCCAACCCTTATATACATATACACATATAAACGTCAACACGGTTGATGTATATGATTCCGGAGATCGTTTATCAGTAAATGCATCACCGAGTATCCATACGCAGAGGAGCATGGACCAAGAAATAAACCAGTGGATGTCAGTCAATAAATTTATTTTACTACAAGTTTAATAATCCCGCAGACGTGTTATGATATTTTTATAATCGTAGCAGAAAAATATATCTCAAACTTGAAAATGAAGCATCTGACTAAACTGTAACTGGTCCATGATCCTTCTGAATAAATGTGCAAGGACGTGCAAGGAAAGAAAAAGCTTATACCCAGGGTCGGTGGGTGTAGGTATTCGCAGCGGAGAGGTGACGCCAAACAGCCCATCTCGACCGCACAGTTCCATGAGTCAGCAGAGTGGCAGCAGTGTGGGCAGCAGTAACGTCAATCTGCGTCCTCGCACAACTACCCCTCGTCGTCCGCGACCTGCTTCCATTGCCGGAACCGGCGTATCTGTCACAGAACGACACAGTGAGCATGGCTTTCTACCTTTTCCTTACTGCGGTCATAATTGGAAAGCCGAAGATTGATTAACGATCCGCAGAAGACATTGGTGTTGGAAGAGAATCTTCAAAGGAAAAATTTCCTGAAGAATTTTCCAATACCCAGCTCAGGATCTTTTCTTCGGCCTCCAATTGCGATTGGGAAGCTTTTTTTTTATTTGGTCTCTCTTTTTATTTTACGCAATCTCTGCGCTCCACTGCACCGGCAGTTTCAATTTCATACACTTTCATTTAAGACTGTCTCGTAGAATGATCGTATTACTTTATTTTACTCTCAAAGACGATTGCACTTCTCAGCATTGCACATGTAAATACTCTATACGAATATTGTTAACTAAATAGTACGTGGGAGGTATAATGGACGATATACGCTTTCGTATAGATCTGGTCGATGTCGTGAAAGCAACAAAGGATTCAAAGCCACCACTGCCAAAGGTCCACAGCACTCCAAAGAAACCATCCACGCCGAAAGGAACGGATATCGCGAAGAAACCGAACGAGAAGTTGATAAAGCATGCGAGGCCGTCGCCGCGCATCACTCCCAAAGCTACTCCACTTCAGAGTCCAGGAATCGAACAAGTTCCTCTCATTCGAGAAAACACGACAGAGATTATTAAGCAAAACGAAGCCAAGGAGAAGAAGGACGCCAAGTCAGAGGCTGAGAAGTACGACGAAAAAGAGGATCAAGGAACTGAAAAGACAGAGGTAAGACGGCGAAGATTCCCCTTGAGAACGATTCCATGAATTTCTTATAAATGTACACAAATCATTAAGTTCTTCGTTTTTTTTTTTTTTCCATTTACATAGTGGCTACCAGCTAAATGAAATGATTTACACCTAAACTTAATTTAATCCTGGTACAGGCGCAGAGAGAAGGTCACGTCATCGAGGCTATCACCGCTGACGTCAAGAAAGAGACAACTCCCGTTCCCGTTTCCGAGGCAGCAGCTCCCACTAGTGTCTCTAAACCCGTTAAGGCAGAGACGAATTTGATTCAGGAAATTTCACCATCAGTTCCGGTCCTCCAGTCTGTCCAGGAAGTACCGAAATCTGAAAAGAAGGACGAGAATAAACCAGAGAAGAAATCTCCAGAACCTGAGAAGAAGCTGGAGCCTGAGAGCGATGAACAAGTCGACATGTCTGGTAAGTTTGTAGTCACGTTTTTTCAAACCAATCACACTTCAAAGTACGTCATTATTAATTTTGTTGGTTTACATGCAGCATCGATGATTGCGAAAATTAGAATTACTACCGAGGAAGAAGCTAAGGCTGCACTAGCTGAACGCCGAAGGCTGGCTCGTGAACAGGCTGAACGCGAGGCCGAACTCGAACGTCAACGACTGGTCAGTGTACTTTAATTAAAATTTCATTGTTGCGTAAATCCATATTGTTCTATCAGTCATTTAGTTACGTGTACTCTTACAATAACAGGAGGAAGAGGCTCGTTTAGAGGCTGAAAGACTACGCGCAGAGGAGGAGGAGCAACGTCGTCTAGAAGAGGAAACACTTCGATTGGCAAATGAAGCGCGTGAAGCTGAGGAACAGAGACTTCGTTTGGCGATTGAGGAAGCAACACGAAGAGAGGAAGAAGATCGTAAGCGGCGAGAAGAGGAAGCACGTCAGAAGCAAGAAAAAGAGGAAGCCGAACGGAAGGCCCGAGAAGAAGCTGAGAAGTCAGTATTCATATTCACACGAATAATACAATTACTTAAGACAAAAGAACCATACTAAACGAACCAATAACATGATTCTATATTTCTTCTCTATAGGCAACGAATCGAAATGGCCGAACGTCTCAAAAAGGAGGAAGAAGAAAGAATTGAACGACGCAAGCGAGTCGAAGCCATTATGTTAAGAACTAGAGCAAAGAATCAGCCCAATACGCCCACCAAGGTAATTAGGATTAAAATCAAACAATGAATAATGAAAATATGCTTAGTTTATAAACGTGGATTAATTAACCTCTATACCCCTGCAATTTTTTCGAGTTTTTCCAAATTTCGATATATTTAAGTGATATACAGTTTATATCAATCAGTAACAAAAGTCTGGCAACTCATTCCGCCCCTATATAAAGAGGGTGTAGAGGATAACAGTACCTATATTCATCTTGGATTAATGGCACACATGTTTATTTATTAATACACAGGGAGAGGGTGGTGACAGTGATAAACTGAAGGAAGATAGCCCCAGTGAAGAGAATAAACCTACACCAGGTAATAAGGGCAGTGATGTTATGACAGCAAGCCTCATATCCGAGGCAACCCAGCAATTTATAAGTGGTGAGCAGCAGGCTCATCATACAGAGAACACAACACCGGACATTGTGCGAAACGGTACTCACAGCAACGGCATCAATGAAAGCAAAACATTATTGGATAATAATCAGGGTAATGACGACGGTGAGGTCAACGGTCATCATACGAATCATGGAAATGGTATCAACAGCCAATCGATCACACTGGACAATGCTACTGTGTAAGTATGTCAAGTACAAATAATCCAAGGTTTTACAAAGTTCTACACACGCTGTGTAATCACCAGACAAAGATAAAAGTACTCTAACGAAAAACAAGAAGAACCTTCTAGCAAATATCATCATGGTCCATGATGTTACATTAATGTGTACCATGCATTAGAATTTCCAAAACAAATGAAAATGCGTTGAATGGAGCATTAGATTCATGAATCGAAAACACCTCAGATGGCCTTGTAGGCCGGGTAGGCCGGTATTGATTCGCCGCGTCACAGACAATAATACTGTATCAGCGAGACTGCAAAGGCTACCTCACCATCGAATTAATTGATATCACTGAAATGATGATTTTCGATTTATCTGATAACCTTGAGACTGGCAAGTTTTGCAATGTCTTAAGTGCCGATGCTTCTTCAGCAACGAACATACTTGAACAATGCGATTACCTTATTTCATCTAGTTTGGCCTATTTGCTTTCACATTTCTTTAATAGTTTTTTTTTTTTTCATTTTTTTCATACTAGGTTTTCATGATTCAATATTCTTTTTATATGTCATTTTTAGTTTAAATTGAAATTGGCTCCGTCTGGACTATGGTGATCTTTGTATGAAATATTGTTATGCCAATAATTACTGTGTAATTATCGTGCTCTGCGCCAGGTCACTAGCCATCACATCTTATTAGCACAATTGACATAGGATGATGAAGCTTTGATTCCTGAGATCACAATCCTTTGGAGCTTAATCTCGAATAACAGTCTGCTATTAATTACTTGTTCGGTACTTATTAGTACATAAAACTTTAATCGCAGCTTACTACGGATAGCCAGAAGTAATAGATATTTAATTAATATGTTAATTTGAGCATTTTCGAGTTATTCACTCCACTGAAACGTTGCGCATTGGACTTTCTCAAATACTACTAAAAAAAATCAACTTTAATACAGTTCGTTACAAAATACAACATAAGAAAGCATTATTTATATGGTTAGATTACAAAATTGTATGTTCACCGTACATCTTAGCATTCTAAGTTCTCTGGCTATCTGTGTCATTCTGTATATTTAATATTATCATTTTTAACTCATCCGTGTACCGAGAACCAGCATCGCTCATCTTAAATCCAAATATAATAACCACAATGAACAAGCTACTACTATACAACGGATATAACCAAAATAATAAATAAAAAACAACAAATTAATAATTGATAAGACATTTCGTTAGCTGACAGGAATGAGAACTGGCGGGTCTGTTGAGATGGATCATCACGATTATGGTTTCATTGCAATTTCAAGTTGGTTTTCATAGTGTTTAAACTCTAATCGTTTTATCCAATGCTCAGTATACGAATTTTGTTCATATCTTTTTTTTTTAAAGCAACACGTGTCTGTATTTTTCTTTGGTTAAATTTGTATTTATTCGTGTTCCTGTTTCTTTGAAAATAAACGTTACAGATGTCGTAAAATAATTCAGTAAATTGTGCATACCATATTTAATTAATTGTTGTCATCAGTCCTATTTAGTGTTCCATATATCAAATACTGAACTGAACGACTAGAGTAAACACTATCGGCCACGTGCATGAAAATTATATCCGGCTGAATGACTAATTCAGTTAGTTGTTTAGAATGTTTTGCAATATTATAAAACTATTATCGATAAGTTTCAAATGAGAAATTGGTTACATTATATATATATATATAGATATATAATAAATGAATTTTATTGCGCTCTTTCGAAGTACACCTTGAAAGCGACAGCCTATACAATATTAAATCCTAAATCAAGTCGATATAATAATTGTTTAAATGAGATATCAAAAAACGAATAATTACAAGTGAGCGAAAAAGTACATCGCAAAAGTAGCCAGAACAAGAGTTGACAGAAGCATCATTATAACGCAACAGTAACAACATTCATAATTGATTACTCTAGAAGTATACCGAATAATAATAATAATTTGCATCAGACATACTAAAATACACACATATATACACAGGCACAGGCACACAACCACTCAATACATGGAAATTACACTGTAATGATAAATAATCATATATCCATTTATTCTACGCGAATGTATATTACATATATTAATTGTCATAATTATGTATATTTTATAATTGATAATCAAGTGTATTAGCTGATGATAACATGCTAATTGTAGCTAGGAACGACGATGGAAGACACAAAGAAATGATTAAATACGCCTATCCTCGTTAGCATTGCGTTAAATACGTGAACAACACAATTGAATGAATGCACTAATACTATAAAATACTAGAAGAGAAAGCTACACACCTAACTGTGAACTATCCTAATAAATTCAGTGTACATAATGTAAAGAAAGATGAATAGCATAAACATATTGAGTCATCTGAACAATTGTATATAATTTTACATCGAGGGCTCAATGAAGATAAGAATACTTTTTGATAAGTTCATATCTTTATTAAATCTTTTTCATGTCAATTTAATGATCAGTTCAAACACCTGCGATCTCATCTTGACTGAGCTCTAATTGGATCTCTCTATCTTAACAACTTTCCTCGAACAATAGCCTACAACAAAATCCTTATCTGTGGCTGCGTTGCCTGTTTGAAAAATTAACTTGTTTCACCTGTTCCTTCATTATCATCTCTCCCTTTCTCTCTCTCTCTCTTTGTTCTTTTTGAAAATAATTTCTTTACATTATTAATGCATGTTATCTTTTGTTGGTGAGATCGGTTGCGGTGTCGCTTGCAATTTGTTTCAACATAATCCAATCAACTTCCCTCTATCTGTATGTATATCATCTATCACCATTATGTGTTCCACGTCAACTTACTGCCTACTTTTGCCATGTACCATAATACGCTTATGTTTGCAATCTATCAGCGGTGTCCAGTTTTCATTGTATATATGTATGTTAAGATTTTTACAGGGCGGTGATTTATATAACGAATTCAGGCCACCCTTTGGAAATGATAAACCGAATGTTCTTTTTTAAAGCATAGTACCTCCCACTGCACAAAATACGATTGCACGAATATTTCTAGTACCGATACGTTACAAGCGAATCAGTTATGAGTTTTCGCGACTCTTTTATATGCAGGTTTAAGTCATAGAAAACTTGAATTGATTTTGAAATCTTTTCGACGCCCTGTTTTTGCAATGTGCTTTTAGTAAGCGTTTTTTCGTCGCAATAGTCCTGTTTTGTGCATTATTGCTTAGCTTAAAATATTCTTAGTTTAGTAGTGTTTCAAGAAATATCGTGCGAATTTGACATAAGAGAAGATTGTGAAGGAGATAAACTATTTTCAATATATATCTACACTAATATCGTTAAAATTTATTGATTGCGTTAAGAGAGAAAGCGTTTCTATTCATTGGAGAGCATGTAAAAATTTATATCGTTCAACATTTCTACGCGTCAAGGTGATGCAAGACGTTGATAAGTCAGAAATAACTGCACTGCACTGACAACCAAATAAGTTAATCAGAGAATGTTAGCTTTTATGGTTTCTGAGTTATTACATTACAAATGTAGTTTTTACTATAATTATAGGATTTCAGCATTACCTACGTATGCTGCCAGTTTAGTAACATTCGATATACAAATATCATTGCAAGCAATCCATTAGAATGCTTTGGAAGTTCGCTAATATTTTCATGACATTAGATAGCAAACGAACTATGCACATTCTTCATTAATGAATTTATTCAGGCAAGGGAGTCTCGTTTAATGTGTAATGCAAGTGTTAACGAACAAATTGGTATATGGGTTATTCCAGTCTGGTGAAAGTAATCTTACTTACGTGTGCCTAAGCAAGTAGTTCCTAGTGTTTAGCTGTCACCCAGTGTCTGTATCTTTCCTTTGGCTGATTTTATAGCAAACAAAACAACGTGACCAACAACCTGTTAGACCTGTCGGAGTTTGACACACTGAGTAATAGCGGTAGTGGGCCGATACTTGAGCTGACACCAAATCTGGCAAACGAAGATTCACTCAATTCGAATCTAAATCCAACGGCAATACCATTCACCCCAATGACCAACCCGTTCATGTCTCCTGCTGGTAACGCTAACACCAATCCGTTCCAGGATAATTTTACCAATAATAAACCGCAGGACAACAACCAAGTACCAGGTGACTATTGTCTAAGTTGTTACAGATAATTGATAATGTTTACTTTTTAACTTTTAAACCTAATGCAATATTGTTTTGGTTACTTATTGTTCATTTTGTTGCAGATCTTCTATCATAAAGTAACTGTTAGACATTCTGGTGAAAGGATGAAACGGAAGAATTTCAATGAATTACTGGTTTGCCGCTGGCAAGCGTGCGAGTAATCGAAATGATGTCGTTTATGGAAAATGTAAATAAGCGCTATAGATATAGCTGTAGAGCGGAAGTTTCAAATAGAATGGAATGAGATCCGGACAGTGTCCGCGATTAGGACAGCTCTCCCTTCCGGATACCTTCTCTCTCTCTCTCTCTCTCTCTCTCTCTCTCTCTCTCTCTCCCCCCTCTTTTTTCCTCTCCCTCTCCCCCCTTTTCCCACTTTACCTTTGTTCCTCTTCCCAAGATCCTATTACTTTTCTCCCAGTACTCTTAATCCATTACCATGCAAATCCTCTATACCGAACCATTAAACACTATGCATTATAACAATAAATGTAAAATAATATATAATATTAATTCATAATATTATACGATGGCAAGCATACACATTCAGCCTATTATATTATTGGTCCGTGAGTTTAATGTGTTTTTTTTTACAGTCTGTAAACAATGCATTATCTTTAGTAAATCATGCGGGGCCTCACTTAAAATTACGGAAATATATAGTAAAATAGAAAAAGAAACTATATTTCATTGCAAAATCATGCACAGTAATGCATTTGAACAAGAATTGTGTGTAAGGCCACGTGTGGTTTGCTAGAGACTTAATTGTTTTCCATCTGTCGAAAAATACTTTGAGCTCATGAACTGACTCTATAGTATGCTAACTGGAATAAAACTAACTTTTTAGAAAACCTTTGAAGGGGATATTATCTATTTATAACATATAATTTGAGATACACGTCTGTATTTTATTGTATCAAATTACATTAAATTAATTTCACATAATTTCAACTCTTTTAAATACTTTGCATTTGAGAACTATCAAACTGTACGACAATGGCCGAGCGATCCATGGACTGTGCAATGTTGCAATTTAGTTAATGGCGCAAAGAATTACGGAGTAATGTATGTGACAGATTATGGTTATAAGCGGATGATAGTGAATCCATATCAACGTGCACAATACGAAAAGAATGTTTTCTCCATCGGATATATTTCGTCTCCGCGCCTCTAAGAATTTCGTAAAATGCGGCCTAGGAGTATCGTCTCCATCTAAACCGAAACATTATGTAATCTAGTATGATGATATAACATACGATCTTAGGAAAGTAAACTAATAATAATTGTGTCCAATACAACAATTACGAGAGAACGATACAAAGCTGCTTTTCTTCTATATTATGTTTTTGGGGCGTGCGCTCACTAGTCAAGTGATTTTACTTTTGTTTACCTTCAATTTCCCCCATCACATCGAGCTCCTTTTCTCTTGTTTCCTCTAAATACACCTCTTGTCGTATTATCTAATGCTGAGGCCCTACAAATCAGGTAGAAATCAATGGACATCGTTGTAGCATCAAACATCTTATTCATGTAACATCGAGAGTTCATTCAATAACAACTTGATTTGATTGTCAGTGTTGTATGATTGGAATATTTAAAAAATGAAGATTATTCTTCGTGTGAACTATATTATTCATAATCGAACAAAATTATAATTGGGATGAAGTACTACAGTTGGGATGCATATTCATGTGGCACAATGATACTATGTCTTTAACCGTATATTATCCTTTACGTGATTAAAATTATACATCCACTTAATTGCCTCGATTTAATTTCGTTATTATTACGCCTGTGTAGACGTAACAGTGATATTATTAAATTCATAAAAAATTGTTGAATTTCGACAAATTGTAACTAATTGTTGCTTTGTTTTTTATACATCCCACGAAACACGACAGGATTCGAATATAGCTAGAATCATAAAATATAATGAATAATGTAACAAAGGCTATACGAGTAACTTCTAAAATTAGCACAAAAATCACGAGATATGTTTGTTGGTTGCAGTGAATTGTTGAGCGTCGTGCATCCATCATTATTTAACAGAAAAACCACTCCAATTACTGTATTATCAATCAGTAGTGTTTTGTAGAAAATTTCGAGAAACGGGATGTACCACTTTTTATCGCAAAGGTTACTAGTGATCCTTATTGTAACGCCATACTCCCGTTGCCTAGACTGTTGTCTGCTGACATGATGGGATATTGTAAAAAAAAGAAGTGTATTTATTTTTAGTATTACAGAGCTCCATTACCGTCCCTACATTTTGAGCTAATGCTCTAGTTTATACCAAACAATTGACACGCTTTGTAAAGGATTATATTCGTACCAACTAATTGTTAACATCGTATTTTCCAACTAATTGATATGAGTATAGTGCTTTACTATGCGTTTTCAGGCATACGGTGTTAACTAGGTCAATGAAGAAACCATCAACCATCAATTATAGGCGTTGGTATAATATAAAAAAGTATGTTTTCAAATATTGAACGATAAGGACACTAATAATCAAGAGTCATATCTAAAATACGTCGTAATGTAAAAATGCTTTATGTAATAAATACTTATCATCGAATAAATAGGAAGTTGAATTTGTCGTCTTGATCTTTGAAGGAGCCTTGTGTCATAATCCTCGTATCACATCCCTATAATAAATACTGATGAATACTAAATAAACTGTTTAACAAAGGTTATTAAGAAATTTTTGAAAATACCTACTATGTATGTATATTTCCTTTATTTAACAATTTTTCTAATTGCTCTTTTCAAATGAAACTTGAATAACATGCGCATACAACGGTGAGCAGTGGTTAAAATTACCCAGCAATCCAAGTATTTTCGCGGGAATCGTATATTGTGACTGGCTGCGGCGTGCAAAGACACGCAAGTTCAATAGTACTGTCCGGTAGTTGTATTTGAGTATTTCATCTTATAAAAAAGTGTCAGTTTATTATTTTCCAATCGAAAGTAAATTTATTTTACGAGGTTTGTGTTATTAGAGAATTATGGCTGTGCAACCGAATCAACAATTTAGCATGGGTTTGTAATCTTTATCTAACCTGAACTATGTACAGCAATTATCAGTCTTGACTTTTAACATGTTATTTTAGATCCACCAACTCAACAGAGTTTTGTTAGATTTTTTAAAAGTCTTCCAGAAGTGAGTATATAACTTAATTATTACTGACATGTACTTCGTACATAATACTACAGCATATTGGCTTTGTTGTCTGTGCTCGCTGTCTTATGAAGTGAAGTTACTTGACATAAAAACCAGAAGATAAAAAACAGTTCATAATTTTATTAGAAAAATATTCATATGCTTAAAAAAGCATGTACAAAATTTGACCTAATGACAAAGTTTAAATCTTATATCACTAATCATATTTCCACATTAATTTGGATCACAAGAGCTTATAATATATGGTGCTTAATATTATATCTGTTAAATACATCTTACAGAGTTTTAATTTCGTATTTATTATATCGGAGTGACAAATACATATTCTTTAGATCAATCTTAATCTAATGGATTAAAAGTAGATGACTATATTTTATTATACTTTTATCCAAAAAGAACTCTGGCTGATCCTCTGAATTTGTCATACGTATTTGTTAATTTATTTCCAAACCTTCGCCAAATCGATGCTTCTGTTGTTACAGCAGTTTCTGTAGTGAAAGGAACATTTGTAGTAGTTTCTGGTGCTGTGGTTGTGATTTCTTCTGTAGTCGTTGTCACTGTTGTCATTACTTTTGGTTTTTCCCAAATGACCCATGGATCTGCTCCACTTGTGTAAGGAGTTAAAGTAGCACTGGGATTTCTTCTGGCATTGTTATAAATATCTCTGCTGGGAACAGAATCAAATGATCCTCCACCATAGGCTTCTAACAATCGTGGTTCAATATTTACATCTTCACCTTTTTGCATTGTGGACTGTTGTTCTATTTGACTTGTTTGATCAATATCTCTTTCTGTCTCAAATCTGGAGGATTGTTGTTGTAAGTTGTCAGTATCTTCTTGACCATATTGAAACTGTTGATGATCAAGCTCAATATTATCTGCATGCTGTTGAAATCCAACTTTCTGTTCATCTTTTTCAAAAGTTTGGAAGTTATTATTACTTTGCTGAGTGAGATCTAAAATTTCAGGTGCTTGTTGGCCAAAATTATTTTGACTGTATTGCTGGTGCAACTGTTCAGAGTTCAACTTATTTTGAGATACATTATTGATGCTTACTGGAGTAATTTGATTTTCAAGATTTTTTGAATTTTGTTGATGTGCTCCTGATTCGTAAATACTCTGACTCGATTGTTGTTGAAAATCATCAACATCCTTATGATCATCAAAATTCTTATTAAAATTCAACTGACTCGACTGCTGTGGAAGATCACTTGAATATTGTGGATATTGTGGACGTGAGTCAAAACTAATGTGACTTGTTTGCTGTTGAAAATCATTGAAATCTTTCTGGTCCTCGGAATTTTGATCGAAATTTAATTGACTCGATTGTTGTTGAAAATCTTCCGTGTTTTGTTGTTGCCCGAAATCCGGGCCAATATTACTTTCAGGAAACTGCTGTTGATTATCAAGACTCTGTTGACTTTGTGAAGATTGTACGTAATTAGTTTGTCCATTGCTACTAGAAGCAGTAGATGGCACATAGCTGCTTTGGTGAGGATGTGAACGTACTCCTTCACTATTGGTCAAATCAGCTACATTATGAGTATCATGCCACTCAGAACCCGATTGACGTTCTCCATAACCATTGTAATGTTCAATTGTGAAGTCAGGTCTATGTCCTGTTTGTTGAATAGTCACAGTACCTTGTTGAGGAACATTGCTATTGGATTGTGGTTTTTCGACTTCACTGGGTTTCTTTGCACTTTCTCTGTAATAAACCTGCGACTGATCTCCTCTGCGAATAACATTTCCAGTTCTAATATTATCGTCCACTTCAAGATCAACCTCAAGAGGCGTTACATTATCATTGTTCACGTTTTCTTGACCATGCACAGTTTCTTTAGCGATTTGTTGAACACTGTCACTACTTTCCCATTCAACATTACTTTGTTGAGCATGATTCAATTGATCATTTTTCTGTTGACTCTGTAAAACTCCAGTTGTCTCTTGATGAAGTTCACCTTGTTGGACATAATTAATTTGACTCGGTTTTGGATGCTTCCTTTTTAATTTGGGTTTTGGAGCTGGGAGTTGTTCGTTTACCTGCTGATTTAATCCAAATTGTTCAGTTTTTTGAGTATTACCAAAACTCTCAGATGGAGATTGTATGAAATCTTCGAAACCGCTAGTTGTTTGCGTTAAATCCTCATTTTGTTGCGTAAGATCTTCCGCCTGTTGATTGCCAATCTGCGGTTGTCCAACATTCCAAGAATCTTGTGTTTCTTGTCCAAATTCGAAGTTGCCCGATGTCTGCTGCATCAAATCTCCAAATCCTCCAGTTTGTTGAACTAAATCATCATTGCTCTGACCGTCCGCGTTGAAGTTTCCAGGCTTCCTAGACGATTGACTTTGTTGATCCATCTCTACTTTTCCCGACGTTTGTTGGATGAAGTCATCGATGTCTCCCGTTTGTTGAGTCAAATTTTCAACCTCCTGATTGCCAACTTGCAGTGGTCCAGGTCTCCAGGAAGATGATTGTGTTTCTAGCTGACCGTATTCAACTTTCCCGGGTATTTGTTGCGTAAAATCATCAAAACCATCAGTTTGTTCATGCACCTTCTCAGTTTCCTGATTAGCACCTTGAAATTTGTTTAGTTCGAATTGTTGACCAAATTCAATCTTTCCGGAAGTTTGTTGTGTAAAGTCATCTAATCCTGCTGTTTGCTGCGTTAAGTCATCGACGTCTTCATTTTCAACCTGCAGCTTCCCTGGCTTCCGTGATTGTTGCGTTTGTTGTCCAAATTCAATCTTTCCTGATGTCTGTTGTGTAAAATCATCAAAACCATCAGTCTGTTGAGTCAAATCATGGGTTTCTTGATTTTCAATTTCTAATTGTCCTGGTATAGACGATTGTTGTTGTCCTAATTCAATCTTTCCTGATGTCTGTTGTGTAAAATCATCAAAACCGTCAGCATGTTGAGTCAAATCATGGGTTTCTTGATTTTCAACTTCTAATTGTCCTGGTATAGACGATTTTTGTTGTCCTAATTCGATTTTTCCTGAAGTTTGCTGTGTGAAATCTTCAAAACCTCCTGTTTGTTGCGTCAAGTCCTCATCCGGTGGAATCAAATCACCAACTTGTTGATTTTCTACCTGTAACTTTCCAGGCTTTGTAGATTGTTGTGGTCCAAGTTCGATTTTGCTAATCTGTTGTACAAAATCTTCGCTCTGTTGAGTTAAATCTTCAACATGTTGATTACCAACTTGAAACTGATCAGGCTCCGAAGTTTGCTGTGTTTGTTGTCCAAACACTATTCCACTTGTCGCCTGCTGCGTCAAATCTTCATTTTGTTGAGTAAGGCCCTCGTTTCCCTGTGTGAAATCATCAAATTTGTTAGATTGTTGCCTTAAATTCTGACCTTCCCGATATGTAGCACCCCGTTTATACATTCTACGATACTGCGACCCATATGAAACTTGCCCCGTAGTTCCGGATGCTTGAGTGCAATCGGCACCTTTGTTAATGTGCCCCAAATCGAGAATACCCGTAATTAATTTTCCAGGACGCGTTGCATAAGCGTAATTGTAATTTTGATTGGCTTCACCTACGTTAGTATTATGCCCATGGAGTATATCGTATGACGTTTGCTGATTGGATGATTCAATCCTTCCAGAATGTTGCTGAGTAACTTGTTGCGTTTGCTGACTATCGTCTACTTGCAGATTGCCAGTGCCAATATCAGGAACATAACCACCTGTACGATGACTCGAACTGCTCGAGTATTCCTGATAATGCCTAATTTGGCCAGGTCGAGTTCCGCTAGATTGTCCAAAGTTTTGGATATATCCCCCTTGGTCATGGTTCGCGGTAGAAACTTGACCTTGAGCATATCCTGACTGCTGCGAATCCGACACTTGTGATTGCTGAGCTTGATCCACTTGACTTTGCAATATATCTTGACTGGTGGCCCCATACTGTCCACGACTACTACCAATTGGTACGCGATCGTGAACCTGTCCTCCACGATTAGCAGTTTGAGAAATTTGATGATCCTCTGAGCCATAAGAATTTTGATAACTCTGTTGAGTGCCTGAAGTATAACTTTCACTCGATGCCACTTGTTGATGACCAGATTGACCAATTGTTGTGACAGGTCTAGGTGTCGCTTGCCAATAGATTCTTCGAGAACCTTGTTGGTTGCTAACGTAACTGTTTCCATCGGAATTAGAAGTTGCAGCTTCGTCCCTAGTAGTAGATACTTGAGGATACCGCGTTCCTGACGTCCTTTGCCCATAATTCGTAGAAGGTGCACCGATATCGAGAGTCCCTTGGGACAATCCTTGTGAATTACTATTAATTAAATCATTATTAGCTACTCGCACGGATCCCGTTCTATATTCATTATTTCCATAAGTAGTTCCAGTACTCTGTAGATCTTGATTATCACTGTGAATATTGCTTGATGATACTTGATGAATCTCTCTTCCAAAACTATCATATTGTTTGCCGAACTGTTGTATATCTCTGTCCAAGTTAATCGTGCCTAAATTAATATTAGGCATACCAGCGTTCGTGTAACTGGACGTATAATTTTTTCTGTAATATCGAATGCGTCTGGGCCCAGTAACAACCTGACCTTGTTCTTCGTAAACTCTACCATTCCCACCGTCTGTTCTATAAGAATCTGCTTTACTCCAGTTACCAGGTAGCGAAGCGTCAAGTTGTGAATGACCATAGGTACTCTGGATGTCTTGTCCCTGTGCTGTTTGGGAATCAAAGCCAGATATACCATGCTGAGATACTTGAGTACTACCAGATAACTCTCCGAAGTCTTCCAGCCGTTCACTTTGGCTACCCACTCGCCTCGAAGATTGATGTCCATGTAGTATGGGCTGTGCACTTCCATAATTGTTCGCTTCCAAATTACTTGATTGGTCAAACAAATGACTGAAACGTTCCGCAGTAGTTTGCGATAACTGCGAGGCGTCGTATCCTCCATTATTATTTGCAATTCCCAAATTCATAGATTCTAACCCACCGAGTCTTCCAGTGCTGTAGGAAGAGGTATAATTCTTCTTGAAGAATCGTACACGCTTTGGACCTTGTACGTACTGACCATGTTCCTGGTAGACTTGACCGTGACCTCCATCAGTTTTATATTGATCTTGCTCTGACCAATTTCCAGGTCTTGAACTATCGAAGTTCAACGGACTACTATCGAGTGCGACTGTTGCTTGTTGAGCAAGATTCTCAAGATCAGCTGTATGTTCTTGCGAATTATAATTCGAATAGGTTCTGCAGGATTCGGTGCATCCACTCGGTGCGGATAAAGATGGCACGACAAGCGCACAGAAAATGATAATTTTCTTCATGGCTATCGCTAGGTGTCAGCCACTGTAAAAAAGAACCAAATTTTTATTACGTTAATTATGTCCCATGGTATGGTATCCTCAACAATTTTACTAGATATTCATGTCAGGTCAATTGATTTACGGTATATTTGTCATTTACAGCTGACATTTTCTTAAAACTGCACAAAACAAATATAGCACCATTAATATGTATATCCGTATCCGTCTCTTATGTCACGTAGGAGTAACACAGACTGAATATAATTGCATCAACCTGTTCTGTATGCAGCACTCAGCAAATCGAATCATTTCTAAAATAGTTTATTTGCGTTACCAATATCCTGTCTAGAATATCAAGCGGTCAGGTAATCGAGAACTATAAATTACGAAATTAATTAATTGAAAATTTAATAAAAGATCAAAGAGTCACTTAGTTAATTTTAACTCGATGGATTGCGTTCAAGTGTCTACACTGAGGAACGTAATTTTCTATATATTAAATTATAGTCGACGCAGAAAACACTATGAAAATTAAATAGTATGAAGCATACCTTGACGAAGAAGACCAACTGGTCTCGTAAAAGACTAATAACAATCCTAATGAAGTGCTCACTGAACCTGTTAGGAAGCTTGTAAGCCAAATGATCAGCAGCAATTCAATTTATGATGACTTCCCCTCCTTTTTCCTCGATGACTTTGAAAGCATCCTTACTTCGTCTCTTATCTTCTCCGCTCTTAATTCACAATAATATAGATGTGTGTATATTCTCATATTCATATATATTTCAGTTCACTTTGTACTCACACTCACACATCATCTCTTATCTCAAATAATTCTCAATTCATTAGGAATTAGTATACGCCATGCGTATATCTTGAAATATGTTAATATAATTAGTGATACATATTTTTTATTCTTTCAAGAATACGAACCATTACTACAGTCTTTCTAGTTAAATTTTTTATCAGAAATCTTTTGAACCTTAAACTATTATTCCAAAGATGTATTTCAAATTTGTCGAAAAAAAAAGTTTTCGATTCGTCCTGCATAATTCATTACAGTTCAAGTTTATAGCAAAAAAAGTCCCTATGTAAAAAAAAAATAAAAATTTCAGTTGTAAATGATTGACTTATATAATGATTCTTATAAATATTGTATACTGCATGTACTATCTGTTATATTATTTATGCACATATCACAAAGTGAGTGTAATACTATTTTCTGTATAATCGTCAGATTGAGTAACAGGTTTCCATATTTGGGAAGATGTGTCATATAGTGCTATTCAGTCGTAACATATAACATCTTTGCCATCCGGTATTTCCATTTTAATATACTTTCATTGAGGATTACTTGGTAGAACAACAAGGTCACAATTATGACTCTGTTGTGTCAATTCGAAAAAGATTTATATTTCTCAAGATTAAGATTTCCAGGAAGTCCCACATCTTACAACTAAAAGACCTTCTTTTAATCGTATATAGTTTTATTTTGATGTTTGTTATCATATGTTTCCACTTTATATAGTAATTTGAATTTTCTTATATCCGTCGTCTTAGGTAACGATGCCGTCGTAATTTAAAATCACTAGGCTCTAATGCTATTCCTACGTTCTGATACTCTATAATTATTACGTACATTAATTGATGATATGATTAGGACTCATTTTTATCACAGTCGTGCAATGTGGTTAATGCATTTTTCCGATGGCCTAGTTTCCCATTTAAATTGTTGATCTTCGTGAAACATGAACTTTAGCCTTTTATCATGTTAATCGGAAACAAATAACCAATTTCTCATATACTAGCATTTACCCATTTTACATTGTCCTTGAATTTTTCGTAATTAAACTAATAAAACATTGACCGAATAATATTTAGATTCTATATCGTTCAACTATTCGTATCAATTCAATTAATCTTTTCCGGGGAACACTTTTCTACAGAACCATTTGTCACCATTTTTGGTAGTAATAGGTTCTCTGGGATGATAAATACGAATCTGCAGTCTCAATTAAAAATTTCAAAATGGCAGATTCAATGTGGCAACCATGAAATACTAATTTTATCGCATTTGAAGTGACTATCTGTACATACGTTTTACTTGAAATATCATAAATTTAACAAAGAAGTCGCGTAATAAATATTTTTTCAACGCGAAATTTTCTTAGACTGTAGCCCATTTTATTCCAATAACCCATTTTACATCTACTAATCATTTTGACCCAGTCTCTCGTATATGTGTGAGTGCGTGATACATGTATGTAAATAACACGTACTTGTTTTTTATATAAATTTTTTGCAAACAGTTGAGCGTAGATATATTTATTTAAGAACAGTTCATGTTTAAACATTTCGAAAATTAAATCCTCAAAAATCAGTGTATGTAAAATTGAGGAAAAAATGTATATATTATAGTATTAGATGCATAAATAACCTGTAGAAATGTTCAGCCCTGCAGCACTTTGAATTTATATACAAATAAATTTTTATTGAATAAAGGAGCTTTTTTGTATACGTTGTTTAATAACAATAACAAATAGACAAATTAATGCAATTTTGAAACTGCATCTGAAAGGATTAAAGTTCAGCATCAGTTTGGCAAAGGGATATAACCAAAATACTATTTTTTTGGCGATACAACAATAAAAGTGTCAACATTTTTTTATAACATTACATATCAATGTCAAATGTCCTCTACTGTGACCAGCACGAAGAATAAATGTGTTTTGGGGTTGAATTGAGACAAAAGTAAAAATACAATTTTGTACATTTTTAGCAATGTATTAAAACATCCTAAGCTATGTGTATTTAAAATTTTTTAGCATATTACAATTTTTATTAAATAAAAAGTGCAACATAATTAACGAAAGCAATTTTGTTTATGCTTTTAGAAAAACCAAAATTTCGAAATCGTGTACACCATCCGCATAAATATGTTTAACACGAATTAATATGCTTGTTTAAATACCGATATTTCTTATAAAATTTTAAATGTATATAATTAAAGATATGTTGTAATAAATTTTCCAATATGAATAAAATTGGCTTTAAAAATGAGCAACATTACCAGAAATTCAATCCTAAAAAAAAGGCTTTTCAGGCTGGTCACAGTAGGATAAATCCCTTAATTGTTTCTATAAACAAATGTATTCCGTAAACTGAAATATTTCTGGGAATCTCATAGTAGATGACGCAAAACTGTTTAATGCGACCCGTGATTTCCTGACCTGTCGATAGCCATTGACCTACAGATACACTACAGGATTTGTGATGTCTTTGTGAGAAGTGGATAAACAATCGTCCACATAAAATATCATAAACATTTGAAAATTGTTACAGAAACCGAGCAGTACCGTACGATTCTTTAATAGATCAGATTATTATACACTGCACGGAAGCGATGCACTCTTTGCGGCACAAGAAGTTTTCAAAACGACATCCGTTTGCAAGATGATTGGAGCTCGTAAGTTTTATAAAAGATTTTCTTCATAAGGTAATTGATACGATAAAAAGTATCGTTATTGATTCACCGTTTATTCACAGCGCCGCATAAGACAGAAGGTGTTATTCTAAATAAAGGACATTTTGAGACATTCATACGTGATTTATTACTCGTTAAGCAATACAGAATTGAGGTATACGTGAATCAAGGATCAGCAAAAAACCAAGACTGGATCTTGGAATACAAAGGTTCACCTGGAAATCTCCTGCAGTTCGAAGAAATTTTATTTGGCAATAATGAGGTTGCAGTTGGGACATCAGTTATCGCTGTTAAATTGGGATCCGAAGGAAAAACGAAAGTATGTAAATTATGATCATCGATAAAGTGATTTTTAAGAATTCTAAATGATTCTATATCTAACAAGAAAATGCACGTTTTCGCAGATCGTTGGTGTTAGTTGTGTCGACGTCATTGGAACAACCATTTCTGTTTGCGAATTTACCACAGATGAATCATTCTCGGACTTAGAGGCTCTTGTGGTTACACTCGCTCCAAAAGAATGCCTGTTAATTCAAGGTGAAGGAAGCTATGAATTTAAAACCATTAAACAGGTATAATAATTCACTTCATACTCTTGTATCCTGCACATCAGTATTTGAACAATTCTATATCAAATCATCATTCCAGATTATGGAAAGAAGCAACGTAATGATCACACTCAGGAAAAAAAGCGATTTTTCTACGGATTCGTTAATGCAAGATCTAAACACTCTCGTTAAATTTAAAAAGGGTCAGCAACAGAATGCTCAGTCATTACCAGAGACAAATCTAAATGTAGCAATGGCAGCGACTGCATCTATTATCAAATATCTTGAAGTTAGTAAATAATAGTTTTAATTACACTGCATAGGCAAAGTTACTTTAGGTTCAGGATTTTCATTTATGCAATACCTAATGTCTGTGTAGTTGACATCTGATGAAGGAAATATAAATCAGTTCACTCTACAACAATTAGAACAGTCGCGTTACGTGCGATTGGACACTGCAGCTATAAGGGCGCTCAACGTTGAGCCACGTAATGATGTTCCCTCTGGTCCAAGTGGAAATTTCAATTCCAGCATTTTGGGTTTGCTTGATAAATGTAGAACATCACAAGGCCATAGACTGATTGCTCAGTGGGTCAGACAGCCACTCAGAGATTTATCTCTTATAAAGGAAAGACTTGACATTGTCGAAGCTCTAATGAAAGATAATGAATTGAGGTCAGCCCTCAACGAAGATCACTTGCGACGCGTACCAGATTTACAGCAATTGGCAAAAAAATTATCCAGAAAAAAAGCTAACTTGCAGGATTGCTATAAGTGAGTTTCATTTTAAATACTAGTCGTTAAAAGCAAACAATTGGAAGATTTCTACGGCTGCTTTCAGGATTTACCTATGTGTAGCACATTTGCCAACATTACTTGAACAACTCTCTGCAGCAACGGGAGTTGCAGCTTTTACGGCAATGTTAATTGAACCCTTGAAAGAGTTAATTGAAGATATGGATAAGTTTCAACAAATGGTTGAACAGACTATAGACTTGGAGGCAGCAGAAAAGGGTGATTTTTTAGTACGACCTGATTTCGATGATGAGTTAAAAGGTATTTTATCAACGTATTCCTTATATTATTCGTGAATTTTTTATCATACGTCATGAAATGTGTATTTTCAGAACTAAATGTTAATATGGAAGCGGCAGAAAAGGAATTGGGGGGTCAGTTGGGAAAAGTTGCTGATGACCTCTCTTTGGAAGCTGGAAAAACTCTAAAGCTAGAATCAAATCAACAATTTGGTTACTATTTTCGCGTAACTTTGAAGGAGGAAAAGATTCTGAGAAATAAGAAAAACTACACCGTGTTAGATTCAAATAAGAGTGGTGTGAGATTTCGAAACAGTAAGTTGACGGATATCAATGAAGATTATCTTGCTGCCAGAGACAAATATACGGTGCAACAAAAATCAGTTGTCGATGAAATTATTGGCATTGCAGGTTTGTAAAAGCTTTGCAGCATATATGTATACGATCTTAATAGAATTTTAATGCATGTAAGAATTTTTCCTCAGCTGGTTACTGCAGTCCAATTAAATCAATCGGTTCTGTTGTCGCGTGCTTGGATGTACTTACGGCTTTTGCCACGGCAGCAGCTAATGCTCAAAAAGCTTACGTGCGACCTGAAATGCTCCCAAGCGAAACGGGTGAATTGAAACTCGAGCAAGCTCGACATCCGTGCTTAGAATTACAGGAAGGTGTTGATTACATTGCTAATGATATTGACTTTAAGCGAGGTAATTTTTTCAAACGTAATTATAATACTAGAAAATGTTTCTAAAAACTGTACAGTTCACACTATTCGTTTGCTATAGATGAATCCACATTCTATATTATAACTGGACCCAATATGGGCGGTAAAAGTACCTATATCAGGTCTGTCGGCGTTGTAGCTTTAATGGCGCATATTGGCAGTTTTGTACCTTGCGATAAAGCCACAATATCTCTACTCGATTGTATTTTGGCAAGAGTTGGTGCAGACGATTCTCAAATAAAGGGTCTCTCAACGTTTATGACAGAAATGGTAGAAACAGCTGCCATTCTGAAGGTAAATTAATCAAAGGCCACTTAGTTTTAATGTGTTTTATTGTTTTGCTTTGTTATTCCAGGCGGCTACCTGTAATTCTCTGGTTATAATTGATGAACTCGGTAGAGGAACTTCCACATACGAGGGTTGTGGAATCGCTTGGTCTATTGCAGAGTAAGTAAATTCATCTACCTGTTACAATATCATTATATATATGTAAAATTAAAATTCTGATACATACCACAGGCATTTGGCAAAAGATGTCAAAGCATACTGCCTATTTGCAACACACTTTCACGAGATTACAAAATTGGCTGAAGATGTACCTACTGTAAAAAATAAACACGTAACTGCTCTTGTTGGAGATAATAAGCTTACGTTATTGTACAAAGTCAAACCAGGAATCTGTGACCAAAGTTTTGGAATTCATGTAGCAAGAATGGCAAACTTTCCAGAGGAGGTCATAGAGGTAATAAATGTTAACCTCATGGTTAAAGAATGATTAATCAAACAAATTTTAGTGTTTACACAAAGTATTCTCTCTATTACAGTTTGCCAAAAGAAAACAGTCCGAACTAGAGGACTGTCAAGGAGCTGTTTTTGAAGGATCTGAAAATCCAGAAAAGAAACGAAAAATCATTAAAGTATGCCTAAAGCATGTCTTGATTTATTTTACACCAATGATAATCATTTCCCTAATAAAGATTACTTTCTTGTAGGAGGGAGAGGATCTTATAGCACAGTTTGCAAATAAATGTAAAACTCTGGATCAATCGTTATCCGATGCTGAATTGAAGGGTAAAATCGCTACATTCAAAGAAGAAATACTTTCACACAAAAATCCGTATATCAAAGCTCTCTTGTCTAGCCCATAGTATTTAATATTTTGCATTATACTTTAATTCTAAATCTCTCATATACATTAATAATTATCAGTATATTCTACACATGTGTTTGAAAATAAATTTTTAATTTTTTAAACATGCACTATTATTTTGTCTACTATTTTTAAAATAAAATTTAAGTTTAATAGTTTAATAGTTTTAATTTAATCTTAAACTACTTTTATCATATGTAACTGAAAAATAGTATATTCCTAATAGGAATCGTAACTATAACTGAAACCTATAATAACCGGAAAAAATAAGGAACCAAAACCGTAATCATTAGCCGAAATTTCAGAAATGTTGTATCTAAAATATCTAGTCGAGCTAAACGTGAACACGAACGAGTAGCTTGGCGGGCAGAGGTTCTCCGCTACTCACCGCTGGTTCCCAAAGCAACTCTTAGAACGAGACCGGAAAATATAGAACTTCTCAAGAATTATTGAAAAAGCTTATTGTTGAAATATTTTTAAGACATTTTGAAGAAAGTGCCAACTTGACACCCGTGTAGCACCTCAATTTTTACTAAATATTATTGGATCTTGATTTACTTTCAAAATTTATTCAAAATATAAAATTGAAGCTAAATAAAAATCTCGCAGAATATACGGAGTAGATAAAATTTGAATTGAAATTGTAGAATATCGAAAAAAAAATTACATTCAAATTGAAATATTAATAAATTAGGTGTTTTGAACATTAAAATAATGAATTAAATCAATAAAGCAAAATATTAACACTCAGAAATCGGAAATTCAGGCCGAACATATTTGGAAATTACTGGAAGTTACCCAAAATTGTATGCGCGCAAATTCGTCGCGGCAGGACTCTGGGAGTGGGAGATGGCGGAGAGTGGGGGTGAGCGCTGGAGGCAGCGCCCGGACTCCGAGCGCTCATTCTTCCTCGAGCCGGTCTCCTATACTGGTCTCTTGGAATCATTACTCTTTATTCATTGTCAACATTCTTCTCTTTCTATATTTATTTCTTCTTTACATTCATATTTCTCTATCTGTCATTCTTTACTTTCTGATTTATCTCATTCTTTATTTCTTCTCTACTTTTATATTCCTTACTTTTCTACTTCTTAACTTCTTTATTTCTATCTTCCCTTCTGTCTTCTCGTTTCATTCTATTCCCTCTCACTTTCCATTGTGCTTGTTTTACTTGTCCTATTCCTTTGGTCGGGTCGAGCATATTAATTGAAGTAGTCATATAAGAGTAGTCACCCTGTTAGTGCAGCTAGACTTAAGACCATGGTGTCGGGGTTTGCCCTTCCGCCTCATCCACTGAGCTTGCTCAGTGGGTCGGGCCCAAGTTGTGGCCGCAACAGGACCTTATGGGTCTCCCGACGGGGGCCTTGAGCCCCCTTAGGGTATCTACGGCCATGGTCTTTCGTATAGTAAATCTAACCAGGTGTCTAGCTGTCGCGTATTTAGTATAATTTTTTCGCTTTGCTAAAAACACTCCAACATGTCGTTGACCCTTGGGCACTTGTGTGGGTAGAAACGATCCTATGTGTCGTGCGGGGTAGTCCGTTGACTCTGGGTAAAGTCCTATTTGTGCTTGTGCTTGGGGGTCTCCTTCACTTGGGGTAGGTGCGGGTGCTATTGAGCACCTGCTAGTATAAAGTCACCCTTTGTCGGAGACATTTTGCGCGGGGATTGATGGCTAACGGGGCTCGCCGCCGGCGGCGGGCGCGGTTCCTTACGCCTAACCCACTGGGCTTGCTCGGTGGGAAGGGACGAAGGTTGTAGCGTTAAATATCGTCCTTCGGGATGTCCTGGCGTGCCCGCAAGGGTGCCGCCGGGTGCTACGCCCGCGGTCTTTCGTTGCGGTGAATCTTGACTAGGGGTAGACCTTTCGCGTTTAACTTGTCCCTTTTACGTTTAACTTATCTTACCTTTTTCGCGTTTAACTTCACTTTACCCCCTTGTGCGTGTTTCTTGTCCCTCGACCCGACTTCCTTCCCTTCCTGAGGTTTTTCCCCCCTAGTCCTGTGCGCGAAAGCCGCAGGACTCGGGGGTTTTCCTCAATAAAAAACCAACACGGTCCCCTATGGGGCCTCGGAGGGGTCGTAGCTCCCTTGTGGAGAGGCAGGACCTCACGGAAATGGGCGGGGTGGGGCCCATTTCGCTCCCTTAAACTTCTTACTTTTCCTACTTTTTCGAGTTTTCTCATTTGTCGTTCGTCCCGAATAATCTGGTTCTCGTGCACACGGTTTACACATTTTCTTCTCTCTTTGTTCCTTCAATTCTTACCATCTCTGTTTCTCACTCTTTCTTTTTAACAATCTTCATCTTTTTCCCTTCAACAACATCTTCCCTGGCTGCTGTCACCAAATGTTTCTACTCAATTTCCGAATCTCCTATTCTTCCTATGTCTCCATCACTCTCCTCCTAGTATATCCTTAAAAACTAAGTTTTTAAAATGTCTTTTGGAAAAAGAAAAGTTTAATAGCGGTTATCATGTAACATACCACA